TAGAATTCATGAGAATCGCATAGTAGGGCTACATTTAAAAATACACTTGCTTTTGAATTTGTAGTGCAGCGAGAAGTAATTGAGAACATATGTACATACAAAACGGGTTTGTTGGGCAATAGAAAATGTTACCCGGGCTTTTGCAATTGGCCCGATTTTATTGAGTTGCGTTGAACGAAGGCGTACTGTAGACACACACATATATGTATATACAAATATGTATGTCCATATACATGCATACATACAAAAAGAAAGCCTATCGGCTTGCAAATGCGTGTTATTTAAAACTTATAAACAATGCACGCAACCCTATAGGGCCTACTTTAATTCATGAGAATCGCATAGTAAGGCGATATTTAAAAATACATTAATCTACACAGCTGAAGTCCATATATGTTGTTTTACGAAATAGACGACTCATCGAACACGCAGTAAACCAAACGAATAGCCAAGCAGACGACCTACTTCTTGGAATTGAATCAGTTTGACTGTCTGATGCTGTTCGCCAAGCTTAACTGGTTTTTTTTACCGCAACCAGATACCTTTCGCTTAAGCAACACTCCCATATGTACTTATAAGTAGATACGACTTATTTTATAGGAAAGTGTTTGCACACAAAAAGATCGGATGGTGTGGCGCAGTCAGGACTAGTCATAGAATTACGACAGATATAAACAAATAATTAAAGATGGAATAAAACTGAAAATTATATGACTTGGGTCTGACGAGTGTTTAAGAATTATTTACACATTTATATAAACACATTTACAGTCTTTCAGCTACGAGTGAAATTTAGGAATTGTTTATCAGCACAAATTGCTAAATTCCCGAGAACCGACTTAAAAAGCACACATTTAATTGAATAACTGTCGGGTTTGTTTACCAAAATGGAAATAAACTAAAAAAAAAACACTCATATCAGCGGTTTGGCCTTGAGCTATAATGTAAATTTAAAAGAAAAACAGTGTAGTATATATATATACATACATATAATGGAATTTTTAGTAAGCAGAAAAATGTTATAAAAGCTGGCAAAAAAAAAAAAGGCGGGTTGATGTCAAATATTTGCAAGCCAAACACGCGCACTCACACACGGATTGTCTTTATTTTAAGTGAAAGCGACTTGAAGCCAAGAAGTATGAATCGAACATATTTAGGTCAACATAAGTTGGCATTACCCTGCAATATCTAACATTTTATTACTGCATGCAGCGAGTTGCGAGCAGGTTGACAGTAGGCTGTAAGCAAGTTGCCAGCAGGTTGTAAGCAGGTTATAAGTTGCCAGTCGATTGTCGCTTATAATTAACAGGCAAAATTATAATAAAACAGACCATGAAATATATATTTTCTTGTTTGTTAAATTTATTCTCGATTGCTCCTCCATTTTCTTCACTTAAGAGACATTGATTTGAAATTTTAAGAGCCTGACATTGTGCACCCAAAGATTTTTCGCTGTGTCTATAATCAACCTTCAAGTAATTCACGCCTCTTTCAGATAAAGAAACAGCTAAGTAAAGCATTTGGAATATTAAATATGTTCTGCAAGTGGAAAGTGCCCGACTAGAAGATAACCTGGACGCGGCGCGTACAAACAGTTGCGCAAAAACAAACTGTGCTTCCATTGGCCCTACACTATGTATGGTAAATGCATTCTTGATTAACTTCGGAGCTTATAGTCCGATCTGTATACAAAATTAAATGTGGCTTCAGCATGGCACACAAAACTGTGTAAATACCAACGGCCTAATACATACCTCCAAAAATGTACAGTCTGTTCTTCCAATATCAGATCTGTGTATACCAGAGGAGGCATATGGCCAAATATACCTTATCTATAAACCAATTCCGTGATATCGAGCTGAGCTATTGATAATTGAAGTCAATAGCTCTGTAGATCTCTGAGATATGACTAGATCAACCTAGATCTTGATTCGTGGCAAGTATATATAAAATTTATGATATCACAGATCGTCTTCTGCCTGTTGCATATATCTGCACATGAGCATTTTCCCTTTTCCAATGGAAAACTGATCTGTTGGGCCGGAAACTCAGCGCTGTTGTGCACTGTTAGTTGGAAGAAATCTGGTTCGCTGTCATTCGATGAGCAGATATACATATATATATATTTTCTTTTATACATTTTTTTTTTTTTTTAAAGAACCGGTGGAAGCGCTGGTCAAGAGAAACTGGTTTGCCGGTTTGCCATGTGACTCAGCAGCTGAGACCAGAGTAACCGCAATTTTCGGTGGCTAATCAAAAGCTGACACAAAGAAATAATTTCAATTGAAATTAAGCACGCGTGCGAGCGAGACAGAAGGCAAACAATGAGCGTAGACACATGTATATGTGCATATGTAAAAGTATATAGAAAAGTAAGCGACAGACAAGCAACAAAGAGCGAGGGAGAGAGAGGGAACGGACGGACAGGCAGGAAATATAAGTTACAGTGCATCAAGAGAACCTCAGCAAAAGTGCATGATTTCTGAGGTTATGGCTGGTATTACATGCATATTTGCATTGTTATACCCTGAAAGGGGTATGATAGTTTTCTCACGAACTATTTAATGTATTGGGGAACTATTTAATGTATTGTCTCATCAGGTATATATGTATACATATGGAGCCCGGGCACTGATGAAGTATAAGATTTCCAAACTTAATATTTAGGAGTTCTAACATACCCTTAGTCATATGAGCCTTATCCCATTAACATCGCACTACTACATCGACAATGGGCAGAAAATAGAACGCAAGAGTATTCGATCTGCCGAACTCCAAATGATAACTGTTTTTTGTTCTTCATGTCTTTAAACTCCATTTCGCATGCACGAGGCGTGTGGAATGCAAAACTGCCCAAAAACAGAGATGAATATGTTTGTATGTATGTATGTATGTGTGTGTTTGTGCCGGCGTCGCTTCCTATAAACATGCGCATACGCCACTTGATGTGGGTTTCGGCTTCTGGTAGCTGCTATGTAGATGCGTGCAGCGTCTCGCACATATATACATGGGAATATAGGTAATGGCATTTACATCTATATGTGCACATCATATGCTTGCATGTATGCGTGTATTTTACACAGGTCAGGGATGTATCCGTCTCAGTGTCTGCGCATATCATAAGCATACACAGTGAAAGCTCTTATCGAATTTTGAATAACAGAGATTTTTCTAGTATGCATTTTATGCGAGCACCTCGCCAAGCATTGTTCACCTAGCACAGAGTTCACTGTAAGTACTGTTTTTTCGTTTTTATTGTTGCTTTTATGTTGCCCTGCTTCCGATCTTAGGCTGCAGCGTGTGAGAGCGACTGCAGTTCCATTCGGAGCACCAGTGCTCTATAATTCCTCAAAGCAAAACAATATAAAAAAAAAAGAGAGCGTCGCAATGCGATGAGTGCTAGAGTTGCCTTCACCTCAGCCTCAGCGTCGCCCGCAACCTTACCTCACCCTCACCAACACCCTGACCAATTGTAATAAACAAGCTGAATCAGAAACGCACTCATCGCACTCACGAATAGCAACAATAGTTACGGTTTTCTTTTTATGTGTCTTTGTCTCAGCTTCTTCTCGTTACACATACATGCATACATACATAAATAAAAAATTATCATTTGGCTGACGGCAACTTCCAAATCCAATTAGTCATTAATGCTACACACACACTTATGCACAAAGCCAAGAACGCTGTGCATACACCTGTTTATATGTGTGTGTGTGTGTTACTGCAGTACGAAACACTTTCTGCACAGCCTTTCGAACGGTGGACAACACCTTTAGTTTAATTGAAATTTATAAATATGATTAATCTTACGGATTTAATAAATAACTGTAAGCTCACAGCTTATTTGCACAAATGTATTTGATTTGTAGTACACATTTCGTTGCCAGCGGAAGCATACACCCCGCCCTTCCCTTGGTTGCTCTACAGCTTCCAGTGGCCTGAGTTCGCTTATGCGACCCCGTATTCTAATTGGAATTGCAGCTGTGCGTGGGTCAAACTATGTGCATACATATGTACATATGTAGGTACATACCCATTGACATACAACACAATCGAGATGCGTATTTATATGCAAATCTGTATGTATGTATGTAATTTACACTGTCCTTTATATTCTTATGCACGCATGCATGTTATAATTTCAACATAAATTATTTTTGATTGAATTTAAATTGGAAAATGCACGTGGAAATATTAAATATGCACTATTTTGTCGAAATAAAAAAAAAAACGTTACGGTATTGTACTTCTTCATAGAACAGTGTTAATATTTTTTAAAGGCACAAATACATTTTTTCAATTGGCAACCGTGTTTCCATGTACAACATACATACATACATATATAGCATGTGCATGTGTATGAATGTGTGTGTATCTATTGCACCGCCCGCTGCTGCTGCTGCTGCTGCTGCTGCCATCACAACATTCTTTTCTTTGTTTGCACAGCGCGCAGAGCAAGAATGGTGGTGGGTCTGGGTCTGGGTCTGTGGACTTGCGACACTTTGTTTACACATTTCATAATGCAAAAATTGTATTATTTTAATTCAGTATTTGTTTTTATTCACTGGGCAATCACCTTTTGATTAAAGGGGCACTTAACACAATTTCAACAAGAATTGAGACGTCGTCGGACGTTCGTTCCGACGCGCGTACCACACAACAACTACTGCTAGAGATGATAATTACGAAAATATCAGCAAGAGTTCAACTATCGTTTCGGTATATTGAAATATCGATATCACATTGGCAGAGAAGCTGCGATTAGCCTCGATAAATTTTAAACGAAAGACTGTGCCAACATTTCGAATGATAGGTAAAAATTGAATGTTAATTATGTTTAGTATTTCCATTAGTAATTAGTAATCACTTTTTATAAGTACTGATTAATTGAACTACACTCTGTCCCGTTACACGTACGTTCTTACCGTTTTATATTTTCTAACCGCAATGCACAAACTTAACGAAACCTTAGAACAATAACCGATAACCAATTAAACTGCGTTGCATTTCTGTTACGTATATTGAGATAATAATTATCGTTACGTTTGAATGCTTGTCAACCGTTAAATTTAAATAAATGTCATTTAGTTCATTCAAATCATCGCAGATTCAACTTAATCATTCTTTCGATTACTGCTTTGGTAAATAGACGTATCGCTACCCAAATAACTTTCATTCGGCATATGCTCAGGTAGATATAAACAAACGCTTTCGCTCATTCCACCAGGATAACGGTTCTCACCACCTGTTGGGCACGGGCATGAGCCCACTTGACCACCGCCACAGGCTACAATTGGCGGCGGAACATATGGTGCACCCGTGCAAATTGGACACGGCGGCGACGTCGAATGATGCCTACTGCAATTATGTTTAGTTAGATGAATAGATCAATTATACAGATGTAACACTTACCCCCCCACAGCCACGGCCCCGGCCCCGGCCATGGCTCCTGCCGCCCTTGTGTGGTGACGGCGGTACGGCACATACGTCTTGTACAGGCACATTAAACGATGGAGCACAAACAAGAGGGGTATAAAGAGCAGGCAGCAGAACAAGAGGCCAACCCAAAATGCATTCTATATGTGTGTGGGGAAGGGATTAAAACCTGAATACTTAATCGATTAACCCGATCATCGATTCAACAAACAGAGCTCGAACCGTTCGAGTCGGCAACATGTTCGAGCCGTTCGCGTCAGCAACATGTTCGACCTGCTCGAGTCAGCAACATGTTCGACCAGCTCGAGTCAGCAACATGCTTGACCTGCTCGAGTCAGCAACATGTTCGACCTGCTCGAGTCGGCACTATGTTTGACCAGCTCGAGTCAGCAACATGTTCGACCTGCTCGAGTCGGCAACATGTTCGACCTGCTCGAATTAGCATTACGATTAGCTCGAACACAATCGAAATAGAGAAATTGACTCGATTTCGGGATTAATATGCCAAAAAAAATGCATTCTATAGTGTGGGGAATGGATATTCAATCGATTAACCCGATTATCGTTTCGCCAAACGCGCAGACATTCCGACAAACGAAGTTCGAGCTGCTCAAGTCAGCAACATGTTCGACCTGCTAGTGTCAAAGCACTAACGTCGAACACAATCGAAATGAAGAAGTTGACTCGGTGTGTCGGGTCTTAATATGCAATAGTATAACAAAAAATACTCTACTCACAATCGGGTCAACTAGATGATAACAAATCATCTCATGGCCGCGATAAAATGTGTAGGCGAGCGGTTTGCATTCGCCGACTTCAGTGGAACACTTGGATATAACCATGTCAATGTACTCATCGATCTGCTCAACACAATAATTAGTCAGATTTTTCGTTAGCTCACTTATGTATTTCTTGCCGCGCGACTGTATAAATGCCTCCGATCGCATTACCGCCGAAAGCAGAATACGAATCGAATCCTCAAAATTATTATTATTGTACAAGATGAGTTCATCAATTTTGTGTAATCTCTCCCTGATCGAATCTTGCAGATTATGGATTTTGCCAACCCATGCATTTTGATAGGCGTCCAGATTCAAGGCACAGTTGACCAGCGCGATCCGTACATAATAATTGCCCGTCCCATAATAGCCCGTATACATTTCGTGGGCCATCTCCCGAAATTCGTTGGCCACATTAACCAAGGTGTGCGGCGTTAGGGTCTTGCACATGTTCTGAATGTAGAGAATGCTGTGATACGACGCTAATTTCCCCGTTATATGATTAACAATAAGTTTCTTTTCCTCTTCCGTGAAGATCATAACCTTCGAGAAGTCCTCGTCCACTTCAACGACCGTTTCGTCGGGATCATCCAAAATGCGGAGGCGCGTCAATTCGGTAACATCATATTGATTGCTATCGGAGAGCACATTGAATATGGTCTGATGGATTTGACAGCCTTTGAGTGCATTCGAGACCATCACCGGCTGTGGCCCGCCCAGGTAGTCGATATCACTGGGCACTAATCGGCTCAGATCGACCTCAGAATTTAGATGACGGAACATATATGACGAGCCTCTCAGCGGCGCACAAGCGCCTTGGAAGGCCAACATTCCGGTAATATAATAGAAAAGCCCGATCAACACAAAAAACGAGAATACGCAGAATATCAAGATCATGACGCTGCAAACCAGGATCAAGGAATAATATATCAAATCGAGATGGAGATGGAGATCACGATCGAATCACAACAGATCACATTTAAGGAAGTCTCTTAGTCTCTCTCTCTCTCTCTCTCTCTCTCTCTGTCTCAGTCTCAGTCTCTCGGTCAGCTAAGGTGAAACCGACCCGATCGGAGCACTATATCATGTATATGTTATCTAAATAGGACTACATTGCCATATATACACATAGCTAGCTCTATAGGAAGAATCGGTCAACATCTTCTGTACTGCCAAAGTCAGCTATAACGGGCTACTCCCTTGGTCTATTAGGGTATGGAATCTTCGGCGAGCCGAACAAAAAATATATGTTGAATTTTTCCAAGAAAATTTCTAATAATATTCGCAATAGTAAAGGCGAGACAAACGTGACATACTTTATGAGCTCGGGCTGCAATTGGAATACCCTCTCTCTTAACTGTTCAAATGGGGTTGATTGGTTCTCCACTTACCATAACAATATCAAGGCAGCCGCTTTCTTGCTTATAAAGCAGCCTAATATCAGGGCAACAATCAGAAAGATCACAATCTAAAATGGAATAAAACACGGAATGAGATTTGGCAGGAAGGATAAACTTCTCTCAAGGCTGCTCAGGCTGTGTACTTACCAAAATGAGAAGGATGCAGACGGCAAGGTTAATGCGGGAACGATCGACCGCAAATTTCTCGTAGAGACTCTCAAAGGATTTGGATGATCGGAGTGTATGGAAATGAACATCGCTGACAATGCCATTGATCAGATCGCGTATCTTGTTCGCCTCCAACAAGAATATATCCCGACCCTTGTTTAGACTGGATATAACCGGAGGCCCAACCTTTTCCATCTGCTGCGATATCGCGTTTTTAACACCCTGCAGTCGCAGCAAAGCGTTCTTGGCCGCAATTGGGAGCTTCTCATCGATCGCCTCCTGCATTCCCTTCACATACAGGGTCGAATCGGGCAACTGTTGAGGGAAAATAAACAAATTGAGTAAATCGGACACACACACACACTGTGATATGAACCCACCTGATCTATGTGCAAGCAGCGCGTGGTATCTATATACTCAATTGATGAGAATCTTAAAAATTTTTGGCATCTCAGATAGTCGGACATGTGGCACGTACGAGTGGCTTCTCGCTTAACGCCGCGAACTCCTGTTGAAAAACGGAAAGTTAAAACCAAGTCGAGACCTAAACTTCTGTCCGACCTGGAGCTACCCTCTTCCCTCAAACACATGCTTTTTGCTTTCCCACCTTAGGGGGAAAAAAAAGCAAGGCTCTAACCATGAGAATCTTTATAACAAGTTGCATGTATCTCGGTCTAGAAGGACTGTCGGATGGACGGAGGCAATGACTAGATCATTTAAGCTCGTCCTTCGATCAAGATATAGGTTCAGAGAAACTTTCTTCTGGCTGTCACATACAGTTGCTCAAAAGCAATATACCAAGTCGAGACCTAAACTTTTGTCCGACCTGGAGCTACCCTCTTCCCTTTACCCTTTCTTTCCCACCTTAGGGAATATACCCAAAGCAAGGCTCTAGCCTTAAGAATACCATGAGAATCTTTATACCAAGTTGCATGTATCTCGGTCTAGAAGGACTGTCGGATATACGGAGGCAATGACTAGATCATTTAAGCTCGTCCTTCGAGCAAGATATAGGTTCAGAGAATCTTTCTTCTGGCTGTCACAGTTGCTCAAAAGCAATATACCCTCTTTGGTCATATTCAATGGGTTCAGGGTTCAATAATCGGACTACGTAATACTCGCTCACAGTTTCCGTAAGACAGGCTATTTATCGAGTTGCCACGCCCCCCGTGTACACTCCTCCCCTTAGCTCTAAAATTGTCCTAGGTATATAGATTCGCAGCATTTGAGCTGGCAAGTAAAATGCTTGGGCCAATCTTTAAAAGGGTTCAACTCTTTCGATCGGACGGGGTTAGGCAAAACGCAGGAACAGGAATAAGGAATTTTCCCAAAAGAATTCCCTGACATTCCCTTGGAGAGCTAGACATTATTGTTGCCGGAAATCCTGTTGTTTTGAAAATGAAAATGTTTGATATTTACCATCTCGAACCATGGAGTTTAGAAAGCGTAACTCCTTCTCCATGGCGTTCACCTCCGCCATAAGTTTTATGGCGGCGGGCATATTATCAAAAATACGCTCCAATTCTTCCACTGCGTTCGCCTCGGAACTATCGCCCAGATCCAGGAAAATGTGATTGGGTGCATCTGCAAAAGGGAAGTGAGAATTTTGTGGCAAATTAAAAAGGATTAATTGGGTCCTTACTGTTGAGCATGTCGGTCAAATGATTGACGGTCTCCTCGAAATTATTGCCAAACAGATGGTTTATGTGAGCGGAGATATCATTTAGGAAGCGGCAAGTATCATCAGAGGTGCGCTTCATCAATTCCCTCGATTCACCGAAGCCCTTGTCGATCAATATGTTGGAAAACATGGCAATAATAATGCCAAACCTAAGTGGAAAGCCATTATCTAATAATATTACAAAATTGGGTTTTCTCAATAATTACACAAGCAAAAGGATAAGGAGCAAGAGCAGCAGTCCACATAGAAGACGACAGCGGGCATCTCGACGTCCAGTACAGGGCGGACAACCTCTTGGACAACGTCGACAGCAACAGAAGCAAAAATAACATACCCTGCAATAACAGCCAAGGTTGTCAGATCTGTTTACAATCTAAATCGATTGACTCACGCTAAGAAGGGCACAATAATGATCAGAAAGATCAGAAATAAAACAATTAAGAGATGCAGCCAGTACTTCCAGAGCAGATCGCGCCAGTCGTTCATCTCCGTTTTGGGTCCCATCGACAAAGTATCCGCCGACTTGACAACAACATAGCCTGCGAAATAACCAAAAAAAAACATCCAATGCATGTCCCTGGGACTGGTCGAAAATTTAAATGCTCACCATCCGGCAAGGGTGGTTGATCGGTCATCGTCTTCTCGAAAAAAAAGTGGGTGAAGTTGTAGACGGGACCGAGGCCCATAGTGGAATAGCTTTCGGGCTTTGTGTATTCAACCTTCGATTCAAACTCGGTATAGTCCACCGGCGGCCAATGGGTTTGTCCCATCTGTTCGTGGGTAGTGCCCAGGCCCTCGAAACCATAACGCCAATCGGTGCCGACATCATCCCTATCAACGTCAGCAAAATTCGTGCCACCCCCCGCTGCGGCATCTCCACCACCCGCTGCGGCATCTCCACCACCCGCTGCTGCATCTCCACCACCTGCTGCGGCATCTCCGCCACCTGCTGCGGCATCTCCGCCACCTGCTGCGGCATCTCCGCCACCTGCTGCGGCATCTCCACCACCCGCTGCAGCATCTCCACCACCCGCTGCGGCATCTCCGCCACCTGCTGCGGCATCTCCACCACCCGCTGCGGCATCTCCGCCACCTGCTGCGGCATCTCCACCACCCGCTACGTCATCTTCGTCACCATCTGCGACAAATACCCCTCCCGCTGCGGCATCAGCCGCATCTTGAGCTCTAACAGCCTCGTCATATAGAGCATAATCATGGGCCCGATCAGGAACCGTAAAACCAGCGTAATTTTTATTATCCGTGCCACGGGCCATGATCCAACCTGCCAACGTGAGCAGCAAAAATCCGATAATGATCACCCGAAGAATCCATCCCGGACTTGGACGCCTGGACGCCGATCTCAACTTAGCTGATTGCGTTGCCATTCTGTTAGATGTGTTCAATACGCTGCTCCTATCTGCTCCGCATCCGTGCATCCATTTCACGCTCCGAACAGCACAAATATCTAGCCCACCGTTCCCATACAACTACAAACAACGCGACCGACCGACAGCTCTGGGCTGGCCTGGGCGTGAAGTGTGTTGTGTATTTCTCTAAAAAAAATATAGTACGTTTTACAGTTTTTTTTGTTTTTATTTTGCTTTTCTATGAACAATTAAAAATGTGTAAAGTTGTTACACATAAATCAGAAACTTTGTGTTCTCTGAATCTTACCTGCACACCCAACAAACCCAAGTCTCTCCTTGAGGTACGGTTGGTCGACCTTGGATGGTCGACCTTCTTCTTCAGAACAGAATTGCTTTCGCTCACTGGTTCGTCGAATTGCACTTTTTTATTTCCAATATAACTATTAACTTACCCGACAGCTCTCGGCTCTAAGGAATAATGATGAAAATGCAAGTGGCACCGAGCTTATGTCGACCTTTCCTAGCCTTTCCGACCTTGGTTGGTTGACCTTCTTCTTCAGACAAGAAACGCGTTCGCACCTTGGTTCGTCGAATTGCAATTTTATTTCCAATATAACTAATAACTTACCCGGCAGCTATCGGCTCAAAGAAATAATTATGAAAATGCAAGAGGAACCGAGCTTTTGTCGACCTTTGCTAGCCTTTCCGACCTTGGTTGGTTGACCTTCTTCTTCAGACAAGAAACGCGTTCGCACCTTGGTTCGTCGAATTGCATTTTTATTTCCAATATAACTATTAACTTACCCGGCAGCTCTCGGCTCAAAGGAATAATGATGAAAATGCAAGTGGAACCGAGCTTCCATTACGGCTAATTATGTCGACCTTTCCTAGCCTTTCCGACCGTGGTTGATCGACCTTCTTCTTCAGACTAGACTTTCTAAATTTTTCCAATATATCTAATCAATTTATCATAAGCTGGAATAAGTTACCCGGCAGCTCTCGGTTCAAAGGAGTTATGTTGAAAATGCAAGGGGAACCGAACATACATTACGGCTATTTATGTCGACCTTTCCTAGCACATTTTGTTGGCTTTCTTTTTCGGATCAATCTCTCGACTGCCATCGTTGGTCATATTAACTTTCCTTCAAATGCGCCTAAAGGAATCCCTGTTTTAATTAAACAAAAAACCTTTAAAAATAAAAAACTATATGTATTTTGTATTCACCGGAGCTTGATCCTCAGGAGCCAGCCCACCGAGCTACGCAAGCGAATAGTTGAGGCCGGGCAAAAAATACATACTAATATGTAAATTGAAATTGCTGCTGAATTTGACCTTGCACTTCTTAGCTCGAAGCCGAGATTTCTCCTATTTAAAAAGCTGCGTTGTTGTTGGATGTTCTCCAAGAACCTTTCCTACTGCGCACCTTCGACCCAAACGGAAGCTGCGCAGCTCTTATAATCAGGAAAAAATGATTAGTTGATAACAATGCGAAGCGCAAGCCTGGGTTTTTTTCTTCAGATAGATACATACTTTAATTTACTATTCATAAACACACTACTAACGACAATATTAAATAAACTATAAAATGTACAATACGCGTGAATTCAACCTAATCCTTCTTCCGTTTAACTGCCGGCGACTCCTGATCTGGCTTCGGTGCGACGGAAGGGCCATGCGGCAATGGCTTCGATCGGACCTCGACGACCGCTGTCTCCGCCTGTTCTGTGCTGGTGTTGGAGTCCTTGGTGTCCAGATCGACAACAGCACCGCCACCGCCTGGTCGCGACGGTTCGCAGGGGCAGTAGGTTTGTTGCCCGCCGCCACAGGTGATAATTGGCGGCAGCATATAGGGTGCACCCGTACAGATTGGGCAGCTGTGGTTGTCAGTTGTCAGTTGTCAGCCATTAGCGTCGCTCGAATTGAATAGCTATGATTACTTACCCTCCAATCTGTGGGGGTGGGGGCACAACGACTACGGCGACCGCATAGGCGTGTATTCTCCTCCACAAGCACATCAGCCTATGGGCCACATACAGGAGAGGTAGCAGGAGCAGGGCAGCGGGCAGTATGCCTACCCAGAAACCATTCTGCAAACATTATGGGAGAGATTAGTTCAGCAAGCCCAACCCATATACATGTAAATATATAATATATCATGACTCCAACTAGCTCGAGCCTCGGATACAAAGTTGGTTCGCAAGCAACATGTTCGAGCTATGTATGAACAACTAGCTCGAGCATGTCCGCTATGCAACTCGAACAGCTCAAAAGAGTTGCGAGTCTTGACTCGCTCGGCGAAAATAATTGTTGGAGTTTCGTTTGACTCCGTCTTAGCCAAGGCAATGTAATCAGATAGAATTGAGGGGTCGGCTAGAAAAATGTGACGAAACTTAAGGCCAGGCCTTGATTTGTAAGTCGTCAGGCTTGCAGTCATGATATATCTACAATTAATTAAATAGACTCCTTACAATGGGATCGACCAGACGGTAACAGACCAGATCGACGCCCCGATAATAAATGTAGGAGAGTGGGGCACAGCGACCAACGCGTCTGGCGCTTTCGTCTATAATGCCGCGTATAAAATCATCGACCTGCTCGTTAATCACGTCGGTCAGATTCTGGCCGAGCGAATTGATGAAATTACTGCCCTGTTTTTTTAGAAAGTTCTCGGCACGTATGACCGCATTGGCCAGCACAGTTATTGAGTTGGTAAAATTGCGATTCTCGTACAAGATCAGATCGTCAATCTTCAAGAGTTTCTGCTTCATCTTGGCCATGATGCCCAATATCTTGTCGGTCCATTCATAGTTGTACGTATCGAAATGGTACGCTTCGTTAGCTAGCGATATTCGGCCATATCGGTTGAACGTATCCCATTTATTACTGTAGTAGATTTCGTCGCGTAACTTTCTCAGACCGTTTGATATTGTGTTCAGGCTCGGGGTCAGAGCCTGGCACATATTCTCCATATACAGGACGCTGTGGTAGCCAGACAGCTCTCCATTGTGCGCTTTCTCGAGCACGATCCTTTCGTCTTGGGTTAGCAGGAAAACAGCGGACAGATCCTCTTCGAATACTGTTTCCTTTTTATCATCTTCTTTGCTATCGGCCATAATGGAGATGCTCGTCAAATCCTCAAGATTAAAAATATTGTTATCCTTCAGCAGATCGAATATCGATTCATTCCGGTTGCACGCCTTGATTGCCTTCGACATGCGCATTCCTTCGCCACTTTCATCCGTTTCCCTCGACTCCCCCACATCCCTGCCCCGAATTATGTGGTTGAGATCAATGACCGCATCCAGTTCCCGGAACAACGCGTTCTTATCGAGATCCCGAAGTGGCGCACAGGCGCCCTGATATGTCACCAGGCCCATCATAAAATAGAACAGCCCGATCAGCGCAATAAATGAGAATACGGCGAATATCACGATGATGCCCCTATAAAAAAATAACAAAATCGATATGTATCAATAAAAACGTATATATCGATCAAAACGATATTTATCCGTATCAAAAAGCTGGAAGCATTTTATCAATTTTTACCACACCAAAATTTTCTTCACTTGCGCCTATCGACACTGACCATCGATATATATCGAACAGTCGATATGTATCAATAAAAATGTATATATCGATAAAAACGATATTTATCAAATTGGTGCCCTTATAAATTTGAGATTGTTATCGCTGGCAGGGGAGAACATTTTATCCATTTTTGCCACCCAAGTTATTGTAAGCCAAATTTCCTTCTCTTGCGCTTATCGATACATATCGGACAATCGATATATATCAATAAAAACTGATATATAGATGAAAACGATATTTTTCAAGATGGTACCCCTAATAATTTTAAATTGTTATCGTTGGGTGTTTTAGTTCTGCTAGATACCCTGTACTCCGTGTCAAAAAGTTGGAAGCATTTTATCAATTTTTATCGCACCAAATTTTCTTCACTTGCGCCTATCGGCACTGACCATCGATATATATCGGACAATCGATATGTATCAATCAAAACCGATATATCGATGCAAACGATATAAATCGATCTCATCGATACTTATACATTTTAGGTTTAAATTGGATAAGTTACCCCTCTTCCAGCACAATATACCCCATTTAAACCCAAATCCCTCACACCGAGAGGGCTGCAGGGTATATACAGGGTATACGAAATTGAAACGCATTTAAATACTTACATTAACAAGCAGTTGGCTCCAGTTGGTTTGCTGCGCGTGCAGCCACAAATCAGGCCAACGAGCATTAGCAGCACAATCTGAGACGAAATATCGATGGGGATATTTTTGAAGACAGAATTCACTTTTCAGTTAGCTACGAGCGATATTTACCACCAACAAAAATAGGCAGACGACCGCGTTAATGACGCTACGATTTTTGCCGAACTTTTCGTAGACATCCTCAAAGGACTCCGTGGAGCGGAGCGTACGCATGTGAATGTCGCTGATAACGGAATCGATCGTTTTGCGTATGGCCATGGCTTGGACGCGGAACTTCTCGCGGCCCTGGTTGATATCGTGGAGCAGCGGCGGAATCACCTGATTCATGGCCGTCTGGATTTTGGTGGCAATATCCTGGAAACGCTCGAGCGCCTTTCGCGGTATCATAACGACATCATCCTTGATGATCTTCTCCATGCCTTCCAGAAACTGCCCCGTGTTCGGCATCTGTGCAACAAAAAATCTCAAAATCTGTCCCACTTGTTTACAAAGGCAGACTTACATTATCCAAGTGCAGGCAATTCGAAACATCGACGAATTCCAATTCCGAATCTTTTAGGAACTTTCTGCAAAGCTTATTGCCAATCAAAGTGGAACAGGCGTAGTTCACGTCTCGCTTAGCGCCTCGTACACCTTTAATAAGGAATATGTGTTAAAGTCTTCTAGTCGGAGGTGCCCAACTAGCAGATACCCTGTGTAGCCTCACTACGAACAAGCTAGCTGCCAATCTAGACACACTTTCGTGATTATCCTTGGAATTATACAATATTTCTTTATACTAAATGAGAGACAATTCGAAGATTCGAAGATCGATAAATTAATTAATTAACTTCGGTATTCATAGTCCGATCTTTATGAAACTTTTACGACTAAATAAGGCATACACAAAAATGTGGACATACCGAAGCGAAAGGTGCTACCTTTAAGGGGAAGCATCAAAAATGTGAAATATTCATAATCGAAGAGCCTCTATACCCATCCAAAATGTGAAATATTCCTAATCTAATTCTAATTCCTCTATACCCTCTATAGGTGCATCCAGCTCTAAAAGTATTCGATCTAAGCTTAAAACCGATTTTTATCGATGCCATGCACACAAGAGGCGTTATCGGAAAAAAGGGAGAATAACGGGTGGCGAAGATGTCTCGAAGATATCAGAGGGTCCAGTCTAGACTCGGGGTATACGGGGAAGACGACGAATAAGAGGAGAAGCATTTACCGTCGCGTAGCTGGGTCACATAGAAGCGATAGTCCTTGTCCAATACTTCCACCTGCTTCATTAGAATTCTAGCCTCTTTCATATTATCGAAAATACGTTCCAAATGCTCGATGGCATTGCTCTCGGATGTGTCGGCCAAGTCCAAGAATATGTGATGATGGGCATCTGTGGATTGCATGCGGATTAGCTCTCAATTTTAGTAATATGGTTGGTTATTTCGGTTGGCATTACTATTCAGCATTTCGGTCATATGGGCCTCCAGCTCCTCGTAGTTGTAGACAAAGATGTGGTGAATGTGCGCGCTAACATCCTTCAAGAAGCGGCATGTGTCCTCGTTGCCGCGACGCACCGTGGACGACGTCTCATCCAGGCCACGGTCCAGCACACGATTCGACGTGAAGCCAATGATGGCGCCAAGCCTAAAACAAATTCGAGATTCATATCAAGCCATTTAACACTTTGCACTTGCACCTACAAAATGAATACGAGCAACACCGCCAGGATCACGGCACAAATCAAAGCCATTCTCTTATCGTTCGCCTCGTCGCATGGAGCACATCCGCGCTTGCAACGGCGACAGCAGCAGAAGCAACAATAGCAGACGCTGCAGAGAGAGAAACAGGGAAAAACAGCTGTCTTCGGCAAACCGAAGTCTGAATACCCTTCTAGAGAGAGATAGCTGACGATTTAGTATACTCTGTGCCACACTTTGTGTCGAGTTGAGTGAAAGATATTTAAAAAAGTTTCTCACTTCTCGACTGATCTTTCCTATGTCAGCTATATGATACTCTCTAGAAGGGTATAAGTCGAACGATATACTCACGCCAGGAATGGTACAAGTATGATCAGAATTAATAAGAACATGACCCAAAAGAGGAGCAAAAAGTACTGTCCCAATAGATCGCTCCAGTCGTTGCCGACAGCCTTGGGACCCAGCACCAGGGTATCGCCATTTTTCACCGCAAGATAGCCTGCCAAGGAGAGAGACGAGAAGATTCAATCGATGAGCAGAAGAAGAATGGGCGAAATGGACTTACCACGCGGCAAGGAGGGTTTGTCGTCGATGGTGTGATCAAAGAAGAATTGGGACACATTGAATGCGGGCTTGATGGCCCAGCTGGTGCCATTCAAATTGGAAGTGTATTGAATTTTCGATCTGTACGGCGTCAGATCGGCGGTTGGATAATGCGTCTGTCCGAGCTCTTCGTGCGTCGTTCCATGCCCCTCGCCGCCCGGTTCGCCCCATTGCTGGCCAGCCGTCGGCCCGATCAGCAGCAGCATGACAAGCACAAGGCAGCTAAAGGTACCAACTACTTTAGCATATCGACTGAATTTAGTATAACCAATTGGGTGGCGACGGTGCCGGGCCAGCGCAATGGACTCGACAGCCATTGCCCCCGTGTATATTCCGTGGAACTTGTTAGATGAGTCTTGTATGGCTAATATGAACACATAAAATTTTGCTGCACATGCAGATGTTCACTAAAACAGTGTCGCAAAATATATAAACGCTTGTAAATTGTAATTTATCAAATCAAGTGAAATGTATAAAACATGTCAAAAATAGTAACAGATCAATTAGGCCCCGACCAGGCCAAAAGGATACGTGATGCCAGCTGTGGTAGGGCTAAAAAATCCAACAAAATCCGACAAAATCCTTTCGGATCTTTGCTTTCTCTAAGCGCCTCAAAGAATGGAGCTCTGCTACGTTTTCTTTTCATGTTTGGCGAAAGTAAGTCTAATAAAACAATATTAATAAGCTATGCGAGTCCACACATACCAAGTTCCGTGTCTGCGGCTCCTGTAGTCGACCTCCAATCGATATTTATCGATTTTAAGCAAATACGGCGTAACTGGCTAAGTAAGCAGAGTTTGTTCTGCGTGCTCGGGAGGCTACAATAGAAATAGTTACTCTAACAAATGGTTAAATCGATCTGATCTAGATTATATATATATATACATATATATACAAATTAGATTAAATATAAAGCCGGGCAGCTTAAGACTTAGACTATATACTATTCTAACAAAAATTGGCTTTTTAAATTTGAAATTAAACTCTTTTAACACATTAACTTTGGTTACAGGATTTGTAAAATGCTTTTGTAGGATTTCATCAAACCATATCTTTATTTGTTACACATTTTGTTGTTGTTGTTGTTGCTCTTGTTAATAACTCTTGGTTGATTTTCTAATTTCACATCTTGCATTTTGTTTTTTGTACATACATTTATGTTAATAAATATATATATATATATATATATATATATATTTATTTGTTTGTTATGCATGTATACAAACAGTTTGTCATCTATGTTAAATAATTTACATTAGAAATTTGGTTTCAGTTTTACATTGAACTGCGTTACATTAATTGCGTTTCAAAATCAAAAATATATATTTAATATATTTATATTATATATATTATTTGTTGTGAAACTTTGCACCCTGATAGCACGTGCAAAAAACTTTACAACTACTTAAGAGCTAGACACATACGCACTGGCTTATTTAATGATTATGCCTAAGCCTTGATATTTAAAAACAATAATATTAATTTGCAATTTGTTGTTGTTTTGTTTTGTTTGTTTATCAAAATAAAAACTATTCCACAGTTAGCATTATTATTTATAGTATTTGTTATGAACTATATTTGTTGTTTCTTTTGCGACTCTCGACAACAGATCACTAAACAATTGCAAAGTAAAGCTGACTATTCAGTTAATACTAATTAATTAATTATAATTATAATTTGTTTGTATTTCGTTTCGACTGCTGAACATAAACAATTTCTACATAATAATATATGAGGCCGCCGAAAAAATGATTAATTTTGTTTTTTTTTTGTTTGTGCTGCACTTTGCACAAATAAATAAACAATACGAATGCTATTTTTTTATTTGGCAGTTTGTTTATGTTTGTTTCCAGTTGATACAAAACAAAATTGTTATGCTCAACGATTTGTCGCTGTGATGTTACAAAATTGAATACGAAAATTAACACAGGCTGCGTTTATAACTATTATTATTATGTTGGTTTTTTTGCGGGCAAGCGGAGTCCGTTCATAAATGAATTATGAAATCAATAATTGTACAATATTTAAATGTGAATCGAAAATGCAAATCACATGCGGCAAGGAAAGAGAACAGAAATTACTTAACAATAACGTTTTTTTGTCAAATTCTAACTTGTGTTTTCTTTTTGCATTTAAACTAAAGCGAAACTAGTTACAGCATTTGTTACAATTACTAAATCGTATCATTTATTTTAGACACCAGCTGTATTGACGATGGGGGCGTGGCAGACTAGAGCTGCGCCAGCGAATCGGAGCGTATCAGCGGCGCCAAGGAGCTGGGCACCTTGTGGCCCGTCTCGATCTCGTACTGGACATCGAGCGAGGCACCTGCGAGCAGCAGCCAAATCGGAGGAGAGACAACACAGAGAGTTGGATAGAATGATTAAAATCTGTTTTTGTTTAAAACACTTATAAATTTCTATATATATTGTTTTGATTATAAATTCACCCACCCCACCCCTCCAAAAGCACACACATTTTTTTATGAATTAACCCCGCTCTTATCAGGCTCATCCTTACGTTTCTTTTCCAGCACCGCCTGCTGGCTCTCGGGTATGAAGGCGGCCACGACAATGGCACAGAAGACGCACAGGGCACCAAACACAAATGGCGGACCCGGCACATGCATCGATATCTTCTCAACGTTCGTCGGATGACTGTTATTCACAATGGACTCATGATCGGGATTTAAATCAACATTGAACAGATAGAAGATAACGCCAAAGACAGCCGGGCCCAGGCCATTGCACAGGCCGCGCATGCCCGTGATCATGCCCTGCACAGCACCTGAAACGGGAAAAAATAAACGAATGAGATACTTCTTGGCATGGATGTGCTCATATGTAGCTTACCCTGACTCTCGGGCGAGGCATACAGTGAGACAAACGCGCTGATCGCCGGATAAGTAATCGAACCCAGCGCTGCCACAACGCCCGCCGACCACATCATCCTGCAAAGAGTACAAGTTAGTAAATGTCTTCAACTTTTGGCAGATGGGAAAGAAGCAATCTCCTTTAATGCCATCTGAAGCTTCGACTTACCACTTCTGACTGCCCAGGCCGTACCAAAGCAGTTGAACCAACTCGAGGGCTAGGCCCACAATGATAGTGCGCTTGGCGCCAAAGACTCTGCAATGGATAAAAGTATTCGGCTTAAAAATCGAATCTATATCTAGTCAAATAATTGGCTCACTTCATGAACGATCCCAGTGTCACTTGGACCGTAATGCTGAGTATGCCCACAACGGCTATAAAAATGGACACCTCAACATAGTTGAAGCCCATTTTCAGCTTGAGGTAGACAAACATGCAGGAGTACTCGCCGGCCTCGGGCAGATAGGAGAGCAGCACAGTGAGGCACAGCATCAAGACTGTCTTGTCTGTGCCCACCTTGCGTAGTGCCTGCAATGGGAATACAGTTTAAAGTTAATTGTAGTTGATTCTTTTGCATCAATCGATTCAACTGAAACGCGACAGACTCGAACTTGCTATTATTGAGCCAAGCAGAGATCGATTCATTTAAACCGAAGGCATTCATACAGCCGAAGTTCGAACCTCTAGAGTCAGCAACATGCTCGATGTTCGATTAGCTCGAACAGAACGGAGCTCGAGTTAGGAGCGCGCTCGAACGAGTCAATTGTTTGCAACTCGAACTTGACTCGTTCGAGCTAAGCAATTATTCGAGTACCCGAAACGCATTTCAGTTGACACGATGCAGAGCTTTAATATAGAACTATTCCTATTATTTATTTTATTTAAACTCACCAGAAAGGGATCGGCTTGCTCCCAGCTGATGGGCGCACCCCATGAGGCGGGTCGCATCTTTTCGGACAAGCTCTCCGGCACAGCGACTAGAATAAAGAATACATCCAACACGGCAATGGCCGTGGACAGAGCCACCACCAATGCATCACCGTACATGTCCATCAGAGCATTGCCCAGCGCTGGCGAGATGACCAGACTGGCGGCAAATGTGGCCGACGCCAGGCCGTAGGCCTTGGAGCGCTCCTCCGGCGTGGTGACATCGGCCACATAGGCGAACACCACCGAAAAGGTGACGGCAAATGCGCCACTAATTGAGATCAAGGCAAAGAACCACCACGTATTTACGCACATCAGCGGTATGGGCATACATGTGAAGAATACTGTAACTAATAGGAAAAATTTACGACCCCAGATGTCGGATAGGGCGCCTATCAATGGCGCCGACAGGAATGACAGTATGCCCTTGATGCCCATCACCAGGCCGTTCATGAGGAACGTATGATCCGGAAATGTACGATTGAGCGTCTGTAATCAAGATTCGTTTCATAAAAATGCTATGCGATATAATTATTATTAATGATGCACTCACCGATATAATAGGCATGGTTAGCAGGCCCCAGGCGAAGAACTCTAAAAATATCACAACCAGCGCATGATGCACACTCGGCTCGCCAATTCCCGAACTCTGTGGGTTTATAGAAAATATATAAGTACTTGATGATGCATGTATTATTATTATATATATTATTATTATATATAATTAGTATTATTATTAATTATCATTATTATTTATTATTTATTATTTTTATTATTATTTATTATTTTTATTATTATTATTATCATTATTATTATTACCATTATTCTTATTATCATTATTATTATTATCATTATTATTTATTATTTTTATTATTATTATTATCATTATTATTATTACCATTATTATTATTATCATTATTATTATTATCATTATTTTTATTATCATTATTATTACTATCATTATTATTATTATCATTATTATTATCATCATTATTATTATTATCATTATTATTATTTACTGTCATTATTATTTATTGTTATTATTATTATTATTCATATTATTATTATTCATATTATTATTATTATTTATTATTATTCTTATTATTGTTATTTATTTATTATTATTAATAATATAGAATAGATCTATGAGCTAACAAATTGACTGTTTAATAAAACTGGCTACCAAGGCCTTGAGCTAAGAAAATGCTACAGACATGCACTAGCCGAGGATTTGAACCCGGATTCTACCCGATTCTCGAGTTGACCAAAAGGACCGAACAATAGACAACTCGTCTATTAAGGGCTGAACATGCATTTTAATTATGATTAATAATAATTATTTACTATAGTATATAGTTAAATATAATTAAAGCCGTGGGTTTGAACCTGCAACCTCTTTCGTAAGTTAAAAATTAAGCTTTACTATTTCAGCATTTATGTTTTCCTCTATATATGACTAAATTTGTAAGCTATAAATCTTACTTTTGGAGACCATTGAATCAAATCCCTTAAACTAGTCGGGGATTCGAACCTGCAACCTCCGTGCTCAGATACAAATGAAATAATTGTATTAGTACGGTATTGTTATAAGATATCTCTCTTTTGAATTGCATCGCAAGAATGATCCCCTACACTAGCTATGGATTCGAACCAGCAACCCCCTTCTTCAATATTCGAAAATATTTTATAATCACGTTCTATTCTTAATACTGGATATTGCCACAAGTTATAAGCTTAACTTTTAAATATCACTGATAAATATAAACATTAATAGAGCCAAAAAAGAATTTAAGATTCGAGCCTGCAACCTGCTTCGTTATTAGTTCGCATTGATAAACTTGATGTCAACGATATTGACGTTTACTTATTGATATACACAGAAGAACAAGCATCGCGTTTGTTCAAAATTTGACGCCAATGAAATCGGAAACTGTCTAATAAGGCGGCAGCGACTGGGGCTGGGACTGGGGCTGGGACTGAGACTGGGGCTGGGATTGGAGCTATGCAATTGATTTGTTTGTCTTGCGATCAATTAAAACGAATGGCAAGTTGTACAATGGAATTTTCCCAGGGCATATGACAACAACCAGGCACAAACCTTGCAGCAGCAGAATTTACAGCCGAAGCGTATCCATTCGAAGAAGCGATTCCGTTTTGGCGGCTCCGGTGGCGGCGGCCCATTTAAGGGCTGCGCACGCATCGAGATGTATGAGGCGGCCGACAGGGTGCGTCGATGTGTGCCACCAACTGTTCTGGAGGCGCCCTGTGCCGTGGTCTCTGCAAACGCGGCGCTCGGATGCGCCGCATAGCGCGATGACTGCAGGAGAGATGCAGGTGCAGGTGCATTAGCATTGGCATCAGTATTAGCATAAGCATCAGCATTAGCATTTGCCATAGCATTAGCATTAGCATCAGCATTAGCAATAGCATTAGCATTGGCATCAGCATTAGCATTTGCATTTGCATTTGCATTGCATGAGCATCAACATCAGCATAACATAAGCATAAGCATAAGCATTAGCATTAGCATTAGCATTAGCATTAGCATTAGCATTAGCATTAGCATTAGCATTAGCATTAGCATTAGCATCAGCATCAGCATCAGCATTAGCATTAGCATTAGCATTAGCATTAGCATCAGCATCAGCATTAGCATTAGCATCAGCAATAGCATTAGCATTAGCATTAGCATTAGCATTAGCATTAGCATTAGCGTCAGCATTAGCATTAGCATTGGCATCAGCATTGGCATCAGCATTAGCATTAGCATGAGCATTAGCATCAGCGGCAGCTTTGTCGCTTACCGTGGGCACATTATCCTCATCCCGCAGCTGGCTGTTGGTCGTGTCCGCAATGTTGGAAGTCGCCGTCTCCGCCGGCAGCTGCAGCTGTTGCTGCTTGAGCGTTGTGGCATGCCGCTTCACCAGCTGCGCGCCGCAGCCTCCGCTACTGGCAGCATAGTTGGCAGGTGAGAGCGGCAACGAGCTTACGGTATCCGCATCCGCAACATCTGCCACATCGGCCGTCGTAGGCGTGGAGCTGCTGCTGTGCGTGCTCAGCGTGTCCGTTAGCTCGCCCGCATCCGACTCATCCTTGATATGCGACGTGTTGTTGTTGTTGTTGGTGTTGATGATGTTGGAGGTGTTGATGATGTTGGAGTTGTTGCTGTTGGTTGTCAAGTGTCTGATCGTCGGCTCGTGTTCATCCAGCTCAAAGCTGCTGTCCGCATGCTCAGTGGGTTGCCGCTTGGCCTGGCTGAGCTTGTTACGCATGCTTCACACACACGCACGCACACACACACGCGCGCACACACACACGCGCACACACACACGCACACAGACAGAGAGTGGCAGACACACTCTCTTGCTCTCTCCCTCTCTTGCTCTGTACTCTGTTAATTCTCTCGTACTCGCACTCTCACTCTCTCTCTCTCGTTCTCGCTGTTCCTGTTCTCCGGCTCTGACTCGGACTCTCGCTAGGTCAGTCGCTGCTTTGCACACAGTTTCCTTGGTTTGGCCAACACACAAATTTCCATTGCCACGTGGTGTCCACAGTTGAGGATTCAGCTGGCTATGCTTGGGAACATATCAAATCGGAGAGGCGAATCTCGCGCGTCTTTAATTGAGGGCTTTGCCTGTTGCCGTTGCCTCTCTTATTATCATTTATCGCTGAGCGCCTGATCATTGATTTTCGACTGTGTTTTTTCTTTTTTCTGAGGAATAACAAAATAGTTCTTGCTGCTCCGATTCGCCCTTGTCGTATTTCAGGCACTTTTCCGGCTGTAATTACAGTTAAGCGCTGCTCGGTTCAGTATTTGTTTTCATTTGAGGAACGCGCGATTTGCTTTCAGCTGAGACCCGACTACAAAATGGTTACAAACAAAACTTAATTACACGGCTCCAAAAAAAAAAAACAAAACAAAACAGTTGGCGAATTTCGTGCTTAAAAGTTGCCATTAAATTTACAATTTAATTGCATTTTGCGTTTTTTTTTCTCCAAAAGTGGGCGTGTCACGTCCCACAGCTAGTCACTAAGTTTTCCAATTGGGAGACAAACAGATTTTTTTTTTACTACCTGTTTCCAATTTGGGAACAACTTAATTTGTATAAATTTTTGATTTCCATTAAAGGCACAGAGAAAAAGTTCAATCAACGAAAAAGTGGGAACAAATCAGTTTGAGAACTGTTTGAAGAAAAATCTTTTTTTAAGTGAATTTCAATTAAAAGTCCAAAAATAAACTTTATGAATTTTTACACTAAAAGTCTGCTAATTTAGGCAAATTGAGATTCTTCAAATTCGATTAATGACGTCGCGAAGTATGCAATAAAATTAATTATTTGGATCTCACGATGAGTTAAGCGTCGTTAGAAGTCAATTAAGGTTAGGTATTGTTGTTGTTGTTGTTTTGCGTTCGAATGTTAATCAAACATAGAAGCGGCGCATCTATAAGTACCAAAAAAAACACAACAATTAACATTGTTAAAAACAAAGCAAAGCTTGAAGCAAATCGCACGAAACTCAAATCAAATCAAATTGTCTCAAATTCAGTTGTTGCTGGACATCAAAGCTAGCTTTGCTTTTCATAACAAGTTTGCCTTTTCAGAAAGAGAAAGAGAGAGAGACAGAGAGAGAGCATTCACCGTTGTTTTTCGTTTGTTTCAAAAAGGGATATTGTCACCACAGAGAAAACTCGACTGAGTGCAGCATTCGGCGTTGCGTGAACCCCGTTCCGAATACTCCGAAAGACAAGAATTTACGATTTTTTGCAAAGAGAGCCAAATGAACTGCGAATCAATTTGAATTTATAAATTTTTTTGGTGTAGACAGTGTAACAAAGATGTGCTTCGAATTTTGACAAACGTTCAATTTTTATTTACACAACTCTGATGCTCACGAAAAAACCTTACAATTTACTCCACATTTATTTACAATACATTTCCGAAAATGTTCTGAGACGTCTGCTAGGTTCGAATGCGCGATGGGCACTGAGCGAGCGATGAGCTTTTCTAAAAGCCGATAGAGAGGCACAGAGAGAGGAAAGCAACTGAACAGAGCGGCGTGCTAGTGAGTGTCTGCCTGGCTGTCTGTGTGTGTGCGTGTGTGTGTGTGCCTGCCAGTCTGGCTGTGCTTGTGTGTGTCTGGCTGTCTGCCTGCCTGGCTGTGTGTGTGAGTGTGAGTGAGAGCGAGCTTGCGCTTGAGGCTGCGCAGCGTACTTTATTTGCGGACTAAGCGAAACGAAGTCAAGCACACCAGAAAGTACCAAATAAAGGGAACAAATTGCCAAAAGGGTACTTTTTTGTGTGTTGTGTGGAGTGAAGGGGGAAATTGGGCAGCTATTAAATATGTTTATGCGGGAGCGCTGACCAGTTGCCGCAAACAACAAAAATAAATTAGCAGCCTCATGTGAACTCTGATAGGAAATTAAACAGCGCTTAAACCATAAAACGAGGCAAACGACTAAAACATTTATGAGCCGGGCCATTAAAAGCGTTTACAAATTGTCTTAGACAAAAAACGAGAGTGCTCCAGTCGGGACTATACGACTAGCAGTTACCCTAAGTCCAGTGACAAGCTGGCTGGGGAGCTATCTAAAGAAGGAAATATTTGTAAAATGTATTACTCTGCGCGAATATCTAGCTCCAATAACATTCGTGTGATGCCTAGAAACCAGGTCTCTAGATCGATTTTGTATCGATAGTTTAAAAACGATACGATATATCGATTAAAAGAGTTCGTGAAATCAAAGTATCTAGCTCTTATAATTTGTATGCTCTACCTTCCGCACAGACTAAACACTAAAACAGTCGGGGATTTGAACCAGCAACCTTTAAATACCTGTATCGCTTCGATAACTTATCTGAGCTAAACTGATCTGTGCACATAAGCCCAATAAAAATTAACATAAAATTGGACAAATGCTCTTGACATCAGATAAAAGTCATCAAAAAATAAATGTCTGACGCAGCATAAATCATGACGACGTGCTCAACCCCATGGAGATCGCGCGATCTCTCCACCCCCCCCCCCCCCCCCCCTTGAAATCGGGTCAAGTGCAAACAGAGCAGCTAAATAGGTAGAATGGTAGACGTCCAAGAAGTCGGTCGGCTCAGTCTTTGGCCAGTGAAAAGCGGGTTAGACAAACAAAAAAAGATAAGAAAACTGTCTGAACAGAAGTGCGAGATACTTGTTCTTGGACGCGTTATCTGAGCTCCAAGCAGATACAAAATAATACTGGGGGCTTTTGCTACAGATAAATGTAAATAAATATGATATCGTGCCAACAAAACGACAAGAATTAGTTGCAACACAGAAAAAACCTTTCGTATTTCCATTTTGCTTCAGATTAGTCGGCATAAGTGGAAAAATAAATAAGTTTCCATACAATATTTCAATTACAATTAGTATTTCACGTTCCAAAGACAGATGGTGGTAATTAAATATATGTATATATATATATATATATATATTTATCTATATATAGTATATATATGATTAGCGGCTATTCGATTTTCTAATTTACTTCATTGTGTCAGCGCCTTATGTTAGACCATGAGCTAACACAGCACGGCGTATACGTAATATCAGACATTTTACCGCACATTTATCGTTAATTAATCTGCTGTCCAGACCCACACGTGTGCTTGATATACCCTGTAAATGGGCATGGTCGAAAGTGGGCACAACTTAAGCCTTGCTTATATCAATAAATTTCGGACTGCTTTTTATCTTTAAGTTCTAATAGTACTTCAAGAAGATTTTATTGGAATCTAGCTTGTTTTATATATTCAAAAACTTGCCTAGTTTCGATAAAAATTCATATCAACTTCCTGCTTTTTTACCTTATCTTTAAGCTTATATGAATAAGAGACAGCAAATTTAGTATATAGACGATTTTATAGTATCCGAAAATCTAGAATATTTGAGAATTAATATAAACAATCTTTTCTATGCCATATTGAAGCCAAGGAAATTTCACAGAGATCGGACTCTAAGCACCGAAGTTAATTAGGAAAGCATTTCCCAAGCATAGTGTGCAACCAAGGGAGAAGGAAGCTCGAATGGGTATCTTAAAGTCGGTCACTCCTGACAAGGGCACTTTTATCTATTTTTAACCTGTGTACAGGGTAACTTTCTGGCGACTATCGCATATCCTGCTCGATTTAGCATAAGTTCGCACACGCAAACAAAATTGCGAGTAAAAAAAAAATAAGGTTCGCCTGCCTCGGCAAGGACAAATTTTGGGCTCCGTTTTGTGCGGCCTGCTAAATAATGGACATGCATAAAATGAGTTCGGGCAGAGAATTACATATTTCCAATGAAGTGGAAGCAAAGGCTGAGCCCAATCATCAGCCTAGAAGTATGCAGCTGAAAGCGAAGCGAACTTGAAAAGTAAAGTTAAAGTTGCCGCAAAGTGGGGCAAGGCAAACAAACACACAAGCACACACACTCGCACACACACACACAGGGCTGTCTGTTGTGTGTGTGTCAACTGTTTCCGGCAGCGACTGAGTTGTGGCCCAAGTGTCCACAAATTCAATTAACGAGCTGCTTGGAAAAGTTTCGCTGGACAAACGAAATTTATTGAATGCATAAATTAAATATGTGAAGTGCGAACACGGCAAAAGAAAACAAATTTCTTGATGGATTGTTATTATTGAACAATTTCGTGTCCAATTATTGATATAACAGAGCCTGTTGATAGCTCGGGCCGTGCACGTGCCGCTGTGTCTGTCCACAGTTGAATGGATACCGAAACCAATTCTCGCACCATTGACAAACGGACTCAAGGTTAGATGAGTGCAGCAGCCGTTGCGGCTCTTTTTTTGTTTTGTTTTTATAAATTCGATTCAATGCAATGACGACAGCGTGCATGGCCACGCGACGTATACGTAACATATGCCAGGAGCGAACTTGACGCGAAGCGGGCCCATTCCTTGAAATGCTGCCACAATCGGGAAGAGAAACTTATGGTATAAAAGGAGCTATGATTAAAACTCTTAGGTGATGTTAGAGAAATAGAGAAATCAGTTAGAAGGTGAATAGGAATATATATCCCAATAGTATACATACTTCTAACACATATTCAAAACATGTCTACAAGCTCATAAATAAATTAATGCTTGTTAGGAACGATTTTTGTTAGCTATCTTCACCAAACTGAGGATCTTCACAATTGTCTCAAAAGTTATTAGAGTGGGAAAGTTTGACCTATGTGTGTCTATATAGGATATTTGAGGGTAACAGTTTTACATAAATTTCGACAAAAAAAAAAAGTTGCCAGTTTTAGATGCTTTAGATTTGATTTAGAGGCCAAACCATGCGCAAAGAGCCAAACCTCGTGAAAATCGGATGAGATTTAACCGAGTTATGGGGTTGGGAAATTTTGACGAACGTATATATAGGATATTTATGGTACGATTTTCAGATGATTTCGACCAAAAATAATGTTGTCAGATTTAGATGCCAAACTGATCTAGAGGCAAAACCATGAAGAAAAATCCAAACTTATTGAAAATCGGATGAGTTTTGACCGAGTTATGGGGTTGGGAAATTTTAGACCTATGTCTATATTGGATATTTGAGGGTACCAGTTTTACATTAATGTTGATCAACTATATATAGAAGAATTTATATCGAATTCTATAAAAAAATGGAACTTCAAACTTTAAAAGTTAAAGTTCAAATATGTAGATACTCAAAAGGTTTGTCTAGCCCTGAAATGGTATTGATTGTTAAGCCCTAAGGCCGACCCTTTGTGCTTACTATTCCGCTCCTGTTATACAAACATGCACGCACACATTCACACACACGCACACACACACTTGCACACTCTTGCGTGCTGTCAGCGCAGCTTGTCGCCTTTCAATATGAAAAATAGTTTGCCGAGAACGTGGCCAGAAAGTGTCAAGCTTCCATAAATTGCTTCGGCTTTGGCCGGTCAGTAAAATATAGGAAAATAGTGGAAAATGGAGAAAAATGGCGTAAAAACCACGAGGCGTTGCCGCTGCGCTGAAAAAAAAGGGTCACAGAGCCATTTACATGATGAATGTGCAGTTTATTGATTTTACTGGGCCAGTTAGATAATGGCAATTGCATAGCTCCGGCAGCGCGCGCTCTTGGCAGCCACACATGGAATCAAATCATCATGACAGGAAGTACCCAACCCCATCCCTTCCCCCTCTCCCCCCATTGGCTGCATATGAGTGACAGCGGGTTGTCATCAGCCAACAGAGGAGCCAAAGACAATGCTACGAGGCCTAGGGCATCACATGGGCAAATGGCACATGCGGAGCCGAAAACGTGGCCAAGTCCAAGGCAGAAGCTTTCATTCTTATTTTCGTTTTTTTTTGGCTCAGCAGATTGCAGTTGAAGTTCGAAATGATAAATGTGACCCAAGCCGGAAAGAGGCTAGGAAGCTGCAATTAGTAAAGCTTCCTTTTGGGTTGAAATTGAGCACGTTTGGTAAATTTGAGTTACAAGTGAGAGAAAACGGTGGTCAAAGCAGTTATGTGTCAGTGTTCGAACCAGCGAAAGAGAGGGCGCTGGTTCAAACGCAACAGAAATTGTATAGAAAGAAGCATTAAATTGAGCACGATGTTGTCTGAAGCTTCCTTTATGTTACCTTCAAGTGAAGGAAAACTGTGATCAATGCAGCTATAGTTTGAACCAGCGTGCGAGAGGGTGCTGGTTCAAACTCAGCAGAAATTTTATACAAAGAAAGAAGCTTCAGTTTCGGTGGAAATTAAGCACGTTGGGAATATTTGCCCTACAAGTGGGCGAGAGGGCGCTGGTTCAAACTCAGCAGAAATTTTATACCAAGAAAGAAGCAATAAATTGAGCACGGTGTT